AAGACTGACAGTTACAGGCATGATTCCCAGAAACGGAGGCATGTTGGGATTTGTAGTCAAAGCACAGCTGGAGGGCCGGAGTTGCCCACCCCTGCTTTAGATTGATGGCATATTCTGGTTAAAAAAAAAGTTTTCGTTTTTTGTTGTTTTGTTTTTTTTTAAAGCTTGTGTGAATGGCTATCAGTGGGTGGAGGGGATTGGTCTTTTTGTTCCATAAGCTTTACTGACTGGACATTGGAAACATGATAGTTGGTCCCTATGGAGAATAGAGAGATGTTTGTAAATTAGTGATGTTTTAAATGTTATGTTTCACCCACAACTGACATTTTAGGACTGGCTGGGCACGTACTTTCAGTCATCCAGCTTAGAAAAACAGATGGTAGATCATAAAGGTAGATTTCAAAAAATGATGTTAATGATACATTTATTTTAACTACTTGCCGTCTGCCCATTGTAAATAAAGGGATGGACGGCAAGCTCCTGTACGGCTTTTTTTTCTACTCTCGCGCGCCCCCTAGCGCATGCACGCGCAGAACACACTGACAGGTGTAAGCAGCCAATAACGGCTGTTACACATACAAGCAATCGGTGGCTCTATAGTCGTCCGATCGCTTGTATGTGCTGCAGCGCCACCACCCTTTCATCGCCATTACCTTCCATTCCAGGCTCCGCTGTCCCCTCTGCAGGCCAGGGACCGGCTCAGCGACTGTTAACAGGAAGATGGGAGGGAGATCAGCATTGTTCCACTTGCTGATGCCCTCTCCGATCTCTGAATGCGGTAGTGGTGGGTATTACATCACTTCCAGATTCAGCTCTCATTTCTCTGGCTGCTATAGCCAGGGAAGAACCTGGTAATGCAGATCTCTGCTTCTTTGGGGTTCCCCAGGTGACATTAGAGGTCTTAGAGACCCTTAATGTCTCCATAAAGAGGACCTGGCAGTGTGCCTGTGCTATCACATAGGGGGATTAGCCCCCTATGTGATAGCAATAACATTAAGTGTAAAAGAAAGAAAATAAAAGTCACATATAAAAAATGTTTAAAAAAACCCAAAAATGTTTAGGTCCCCCATGCCCACGTATATGGACATATAAACGTAAATACGTGTTGGGTGCGCCAACGTGCGAAAGCAACAATTGCGCTGCACATGTTACATATCACCGCCAATGTCGGAGTGCGAGCAAGAATTTTGGGACCATTAATCACTGATAACACTAAACTGATGAGCGATAAAAGCTTTTAAAGCGTCGCCTATGGACAGTTTTGGGTATTGTAGTTTTTTGCAGTTTCACAGGCGTGCGCAATTTTAAGGCTTGACATGTTTCATGTCTATTTACCCGACGTGACCCCATCTTTTATATCTTACCAAACAATTGGGCAATATGAAATGTTTCATAACTTAATATAGGGGAAAGTTGTTGTTTTTTACATTTTTGGTAATTTCTCCTGAATATAGTAAAAAATAAAACCCCCAGTGGTGATTAAATACCACCAAAAGAAAGCTCTATCTGTCCCCAAAAGATGGTATAAAATTAATTTCAGTACGGAATTAAATTCATGACGGAATAAATGTCAGTCAAAATACTGCAGCGCTGAATACTGAAAAATGGCCTGGACAGAAAGGTGGTTTAATACCACAGTCTTCAAGTGGTTAATGGATAACTCTGTTTATAGGTTAAAGCACTGCATACGTTATAGTAATCTTTCCTGTTAGAAATAAATGGCAAATGTAATGCACTATGTCAGACTCTAGCCAGCAAATTAGTGTCTGAGTTTTCAATTTTCATACAATAAAATAAGTCAAATGAAAATGATTATTTGAATGCAGATACTATATCACCAATACAAAGTAATAAGGGAAATAAAAGTACAGTGGTGACCTCTCTGGAAAGGTAATCGGATGTCACTGCTTAGACTGGAGGGTGAGCTCAATGTTACAATGAGGACATATGATCTAATCATATTTCATGTCATGTCATGTCTCTAGAGTCAGTATAGCAGCAGAGGTCAGTCACCACTGTGTGTGTGATTCCCCAATCTTACATTATGAGAGGTGTGGGGAAATTGGCATGCGTGTCACAGTCTGCTTGTTCCTAATACATCCCTGTTCCATCCATACTGTATAATGTCACCATGAATAAAACAAACATGCATTATTCACAAGTGTATGAGAGGACATTTCGTGCACAGAAAGGTACAGCCCTGAAAATTGATATTTACGTCAGAATTATATTTTTCAATCTTATCTCTGTATTAGTATATATCATAACTAATATAGTATAACTAAGCTATTTATAGTGTTCATGTCTGTCTAGCTGTTTCTTTCATTATCGACAGGGCTGAAGGCAAGAAAAGTGTCTGTTCATAACAAACTAGTCCAATTCTTGATTTTTTTAGTGTAGGTTACAGAATAAAAACTGGAATCGCTACAACAGATTTTCATTTCCTTCAGTCTTCAGAAGTCTTGACTTCTCTAAATTTACATTACATTATCTATAATCCCTCAATACACATCTATCTATCTATCTATCTATCTATCTATCTATCTATCTATCTATCTATCTATCTTATCTATATCTCTCTCTAATGATCTATCTATCGTCTACAGTGGTGAAACTACTGCTATAGCGAACCCATGTGGTCGCTATGGGTCCTGAGACAGAGGGGACCCAGTCAGAAGCTGGGCTTACAGTCCTCCCAGCATAGGCGTGCACACATCATGGAAAATACAGGGAAGTGGAGTGGATGGAGAGGTAGATCAGTCTCCGCCATACTAAGCAACCTTGGACATTGTAGGCGTGACAGTGAATGGGCTGAGCTGCATGAAAAAGTGGATGAATCACTGAGCTGCACAGCTTGAAGGGTGGGGTCAAATACCCGCTACCTTGTCTAGATTGGTCAGTGACAGGAGTGGGTGTGGTTGTTTACCCAGGGACTGGAGGGTGCAGGGGAGAAAGTGGGACCATTTTGAAAGGAGTGATAAGGACAGACAGCGGGGACTCACTTTGAGGAAGGGACAGAGATAGGGAGACATCTGAGGTCAGATCAGCCTGCTTGTCCCCACCCATGGTCCGCCCCCCCCATATCTGCCCCCCATGGCTGACCACGGGGGGCCAGACCATTAAACTGCATGGGAGGATGTTCCAGGAAAAAACCTAAAAGAATATTAGAGCAAAACTATAGTTTGCCATTAAACAAATAGGCAAACACCAGTGATAGTAGATATGATTGGCACAAACCAAAGACAGCATTTCAGGAGATGAACCTCATACCAACTGTTAAGTATGGTGGTGGTGGAAATGTTATGGCTGTGGGTTGCTTGGCTGCTTCAAGACCTAGACAGCTTGCAGTCATTGGGGTTGATTTACTAAAGGCAAATGGGCTGAAGTTTTTCCCTAGCTTAATGAATGTGGTGAAAATTCACATTGCAAAGAATCATTAACAAGGAAAAAAAATCAGTATTTGTGGAATAAATTCACTTTGCAAAGTATCATGGGCAAGGGGAAAAAAACTGTATTTTTGCTAGAAGTCAGCAGAGTTTTATCTGTAGACAATGTTTGAATAAATACCTTTTATGTTTGCCAATTAAAATAGGTTGAAAAGGTCAACAATTTCCATGGGATATACATACTTTTTCACTATCTATCTATCTATCTATCTATCTATCTATCTATCTATCTATCTATATATCTATCTATCATTATATCTATTATTTAATTACCATAACCAAGTCAAAGAACTGCTATTATTATTTGTTTTTTCAGGATTATTATTATTATTTTTCTATTATTATTATTGAGGAAAATATGGGGAGATAGTACATTTTCACTATCTATCTATCTATCTATCTATCTATCTATCTATCTATCTATCTATATATCTATCTATCATTATATCTATTATTTAATTACCATAACCAAGTCAAAGAACTGCTATTATTATTTGTTTTTTCAGGATTATTATTATTATTTTTCTATTATTATTATTGGGGGAAATATGGGGAGATAGTACAGTTACAATACAATTCCATGCAAGAGGATTAGAAGGACCCTGCTTGTGAGAGGTTACAATCTTGCACAATAATAATAATAATAATAATACCAGCTTACTGTATTACTAATAATAATATATAATATCCATTGATACGGAATTATTTTATCTATCTATTATTGTTGTTACTAATATTTTTATCTCTTTTTAACATGAGCCGAAATACTGGCTATACCGCTAGTATTAATATGTGAAATCCCTATCTATCTATCTATCTATCTATCTATATATCTATCTATCATTATATCTATTATTTAATTACCATAACCAAGTCAAAGAACTGCTATTATTATTTGTTTTTTCAGGATTATTATTATTATTTTTCTATTATTATTATTGGGGGAAATATGGGGAGATAGTACAGTTACAATACAATTCCATGCAAGAGGATTAGAAGGACCCTGCTTGTGAGAGGTTACAATCTTGCACAATAATAATAATAATAATAATACCAGCTTACTGTATTACTAATAATAATATATAATATCCATTGATACGGAATTATTTTATCTATCTATTATTGTTGTTACTAATATTTTTATCTCTTTTTAACATGAGCCGAAATACTGGCTATACCGCTAGTATTAATATGTGAAATCCCTATCTATCTATCTATCTATCTATCTATCTATCTATCTATCTATCTATCTATCTATCTATCTATCTGTAGGACAGTGATATTTAAAATGTAAAAGGGAATTTTTCCTTTGTACTTATACTAGAAAAAAAAAAGTATCCTCTAGGGAGAATCCCGTCTATTCAGACGTAAAAAGTTTTGATGTCAGGCAACAGCTAAAAAGTGGATCAGGTTTCGTGAGTGTTTTTCTATATTTATCTCTGTGATTTAATGCTGGGCAGAGGGTTTAAATGGCATCAAGCAGTTGGTGTGAAGGGAAGAAGTGCAGTTGCTGTGTTGTTATTGAAGGGAAACACATCTTAACAGTTGAACACGATGGAACTCTTTGAAACCAGCCCTTACTTTTTCCCAGAACAAAGATTTTTTGACAATGAAAATTATTTTTCCACACGGCTCCCCACTTACGATCAGACTGGATTTCAAGATCGTGGCTCTATGGGTATTTGTGCTGATGGTGTTATACTGCAAGGCACGGGCATTGAAGAAAAGATGTCCCCCCATGCCAGCGTAGGCCAACAGGACCACTGTCCCGGGCAATGCCTACCATGGGCCTGCAAGATGTGCAAACGGAAGACAGTGTCTTTGGACAGAAGACGAGCAGCTACACTCAGGGAAAAACGCAGGTTGAAGAAAGTAAATGAAGCTTTTGAAGCCTTAAAAAGAAGCACTTTGTTAAACCCTAATCAGAGACTTCCTAAAGTTGAGATCTTGAGGAGTGCCATCCAGTACATAGAACGCCTGCAAGCTTTGCTGTCATCCCTTAACCAGCAAGAGAGGGACCAAAGAGATTTGCTCTACCTAGCTAATGGAGCTCAGCGTGGGGTAAGTATCACTGTTTATGTTAAATAAATTAAATAAATTATATAAATGTGATACTTTGCTTGTTCTCTATGAACAGATACATGTTAAGACACTGTACATCTAAATCAGTACCATATATTGAATAGATGTCAAAAAATACACTGTACATTTGGTAATAGAGATACCACCATTTCATTACTGACTGTATCTTAAAGGGTAAAAGATAAAAGTGTGCCAGTGTTCAAAGATGATGTACAGTGTTCAGTAAATGACAGTAACCAATCATTTTTTTACCTTTCATCTATATAGGCCAATCAGAACACTGTTAGATGAGCGATGACTGTTTGTTGTGAAATGCTCCTAGTGCATTGCTGTTTGCCTTGTCTAACAATTTCCTGTATGTATGACAAATCCTTAAGATATGGAATATTTCAAGTTTACATTTTTAGAATGAAATTTTTAGATTTTGAAAAAAAAGTATACATATGTAGGAAATCTGTATAATTGACAATATTCTTGGGAATTAATACAAAAATGTGGCATATTGATATAGTTTCATATATCAGCAAATATAATCATACTAAAGCTGCCCATACACCTGACGATTATCGTACGATAATCGTCAGGTAGCATTACGAGCATGCTAGAAAACCAGCCAAAAATTGTACAATTTTCGGCGGGTTGGTAGCGCGATCGCAAGACGAAAGCCGCACGGGCCGAGGTGCGCAAGCGCACACTGCCCGCTCGCTATTGCAATCATCTGCAAACCCTCCCCTCAGCGGGGAGGACTTGATCGCAAGTACGATCTGCCTGTCCAAGATGGGCAGGTCGTATGGACTTTTAATCACCTTACAACCATCGCACAACGAAAGTCGTGCGATGGTTGTAAGGTGCATGGCCACATTAAGAGATCCTTTCTCACCATTCAAGTAATTAAAGTAAGTCAGTTGTCTTTAGTAATAAAACCTGGTGTCTATTTTTACACAGGTTTAGTACATTTTGCAGTTAGGTGATCAGCTGTGACCATACCTAACAAACCTGATTGTATATTACATTGTGATTATCAAAATGAATAACAATTGAACATTCGTAGGGTGCTATTATCTAGCCTGACATGGACAAGCTTTACTTGTGATAATCAGGCCTCTAAAGGGTTAATAACAAAGAAAAAATGAACACTAGCAAGTATAAGAAGTACTAATTTAACACACTGACATTTTCTTGCAATGATTTGCTATTCTCAGTTTAAAAATGAATCATTTCTGCTCTGCATGATCACTCATCTACACACGAGGCAAATTAGGGAGAGGGTTTTAATAGGTCTATGAAACTCACAATTTGAGAAAGGACGGCAGATCTATTACCACTTGCCGTTCCTGGTGAGAGATCTGCTTATGTATGGACAACCTTATGCATTCTTATGCATTCATAGATTTTTTTTCCCTAAATGAGTCCTTTGCCTATTTAGTCAGAGAACAATATCTCAATCTATTTCTCCTTGCTGACCTTGACCAAGCCTGGATGTTAACAGCATAACAATGCAGTACACTAGTACAAGAAATTCATTAGCTTTGTTATGTATATGTCTGGGATCTTTACTTTTGAAAGCTAGTAGCCTGGGGGGATGGTGTAAAAGCAAATAGTGATTTTTTTAAAGATAATTTATTGTAATGCTCATTATGAAAACCTAGCTCTTGTAACAAAAACCCTATAACCCAAACTTGACACATATGCTTCTTCTGTTACCCTTTGCAGCACAAGTATACACAATTCCCAAATTACTGACTACCTAGGTTTTTTTTTTCCAGAAGTTACTTACCACCACACTAAAGGGGAACAATTCTGAAAATATTTACAGTAAGCATGAAATCTAATATGAGGAAACAAGTACTGTACATTAGCCTTAAGAAAGGCGCAGATACATTGGTACAATAAAGCTACTATGCTGTGCTCTTTGTTCTCCTATGGAGTGTCTACAATAACTGTTGTAGTACAGATAAAATATATAATGAGGACACTAGGTACTGTATATTAGCCTTAAAGTGACATTAAACTCAGGAATTAAACCTTAAAAATGCATTCACGTACCTTAACTATTAACAAAATGTATCGTATTTGTGTATCACTCATCTGTACATCCTCAAATCATCTCTGAATTAATGCTGACACTGTCCTTCCTTCTGGCTTCTTTTGTTCCCCATGGTCCCTGTGTGCGTGTGTTGTAAAGTAGCCACCGCTCCAAGCTCACTCCTGTGATGGACTACAATTTCAATATAAATTAGTAAACTAAATGTGGGATTGTAGTCCATCACAGGATTGATCTTGGATTGGTGGCTACTTTCCAACACACAGGGACCATGGGGAACAAATGTAGCCACCCTCCAGAAGGAAGGACAGTGTCAGCACCAATTCAGAGATGATTTGAGGATCTACAGCTGAGTGATACACAAATAAGTTAAAGTTTTGTTCATAGGTAAGTTACTTAAATACATTTTTAACATTTAACTCCTGAGTTTAGTGTCACTTTAAGAAAGGCACAGAACCGTTGCTGCAATAAATCTACTACCCACCTTGTTCACCTATGGAAGCCCTTTGAGTGTCTACAATACTGTTAACTGTTGCTGTAAACATGAAATATGAGGACACAAGTACTGTATATTAGCTTTAACAAAGATGCAGAAACATTGGTGCAATAAATCTACCATACTGTCCTCCTTGTTCACCTATGGAAGCCTTTTGAGTGTTTACAATACCTGTTGCTGTAAGCATGAAATATAAAATGAGAACATGGGTACTATCCGTTGCAGGGATAATTTTATTGTTAGGGAAAAGCAGAAACAAAACTTGACAGGCATTATGATGTATATTAAGGACCATTGATATAAAAATAAAAAAACAGAACGTGTTCAAGAGGAAAAAATAAGACGGTAAGAAACAAGGTAGTAAATATTTTTGGCATACATAGTCAACTAAATAGACATACGTAATAGACAGCTGAATTGTATGTAGATGATCTGAACTAAAGTTATACTTTAAAATGACATCCAATATATGGTGAACTATAAGTGTATCTAAAAAAAAAAAGAATCGAAATGTTCACTATAAATTATTTTTATTCTTTCGTTAATAAGACAGATGTGGTCTAATGGGATTTGCTTTAAGATGTTGCTGAACTGTTTAAAGACTGTGAAGACAACACATGGAGTGGATCCTGTCATTGGTGACAAGCGTGTCAAACGCATTACTGTCATTAGGTTGGGTTCTTGCCTTCTACATTTGTGCGGCACTTGAACTCCTTAGTATGTCAATGCTAGTAGGGCTTATGTGTGACCTCCTCACCTCCTGGACCAGCAAAGGTTATCTGGTCACTGGCTAGAGAATGAGTAGCTGATGACAGTGAACAGACAACATGTAGCAGCCTTGCTGTACCTAATCCTCAAGTGACTTTAGGCAATCAGCTTTGAATGGCTGTTATGTTCACTGTTCACGTATGTCAGTCTGTTACGTTGATAAAATCCGCCACGTGTAAACTAAATCAGCCAATTACTTTTGCTTTGTTTTAAAACAAACCTTTCTTTATTTAAACTGACCTACTGCAATAGATTATGGTAAAGCAAATCTGTCACACATGGAGTGTCGTTGGAGATCAGATTAAGACAACAATGAACTTACCTTTAGGCTTCAGCTTATATGAGAGCAGTGTGAATAGCAGACTTTTACAAAGCATTTGCAGAGCTGTTGGCAAACTTTGAAGCTTTTTTAAGAAAGGAACTCCTGGGATTAGCAAAATGAACCCTTGCAGTGGGGCTACCCAACACTGCAAGTGTCAATTGCTTGTTTTGGCCTAGGGCTGTATTAAAATAAATAAACTCACTTGATTCTTGATCCCACCTGGCTACTAGACTGGTCCCTGCAGCTTATTCTTCCCCGGGCTCCGGCATTATAAGCCCTGATGACATCATCACGTCTAATGCAGTCCATTCACCTGCATTAGACATGAGGACAATGAGTGACTTCACACAGCTGGAGCGGAGGGGGAGAGAGGTGAGCACCAGAGGACTGAGTATCAGGTGACAATATCTTCTCTAAACCAAAATGAGCAGTTAATCCTTGAACTGTGGGGGCAGCCCCACTGCAAGGGTTAATTTTGTTAATAGATGGAGTTTCTCTTGAAAGCACCCTTTAACTCCCATTTGGGAAAGTCAAACACAGATCTTAGTGGGAGTACTGGTTGTCCTTTTAAACAGCTAGCAGGCTTCAATAAGTTTCAGCGCAACTTGAAGCATGTTGAAAGAATGCAAAATGATAGAAATACAATACTTTGCTTGTTCTCTTGTTCTCTATGAACACATACCTGTTAAGACACACACACATATATATATCAGTACAATATGGCTTCACCACAAAAGGTAAACAATTATGGTGTGCCAGTGTGCGAAGATGATGTACAGTTTGCAGTCAGTGACAGTAACCAATCATATTTTACCTGTCATCAATATAAACTAGGGATGCACCGATACTAGAATAGTTATCGGTGCCTAAACTGAGTATTTGGGATGATCATCTTATGTCTGGTGGCAGCTTAACATTAGCCTGGGCAGTTATAGAGAAAACCTTCTAGCATGCCTTATTAGTGAAATGTTGTCTGTGCAAGTATTTTTTTGCAGATGATAGGTTCTTTTTAATGGAAATCTGCAATGAGGAACTATGGAGGCTGCCGCTAATGACTTCTTATGCTGACAATGCAAATATTATGGCTCTTATGCTGATCCAGGGTCTTCATTACTTTTTAAGTCACTGACCTGGAACCAGTATGCAAATAAGAGGTTCTGATGCTTTAATTTTCCTGAACTGCATCTACTGTAAGGTCTCACGGGCAGGGCCCTCCTAATCATCTTGTCTTGAATTGTATTGTAAATGTAATATATTCCTGATATTGTAAAGCGCTGCGCAAACTGTTGGTGCTATATAAATCCTGAACTATAATAATAATGTCTTTGAGTACTGAGGCTGGATACTTA